TATTTCGCATATAGTAACTTATTTAAACGGTCGCAGCTGTCCAGCATAGCTCAGTGGTCTCAAATACGATCTGGTCACAGCCGAGTTAGGGGATCTAGCCCCAAGAAGGTCATAAAGAATGCGCAATGCTGACGTATCCAATGTATTTCGCGCTTGATATCTCTTGTCATGATCTAGATGTGAAAAACGTCTTCCTGTACTATCCATGTCGCCCACTAATCTGTGTTTTGGGTTATTCCAGTTCATTGGGCAGACCAGTGTGGTCATTTTAACAGTCCAGCAAACATTGTATCACTAATAGTAAAGTACGAAAACAACTTAGTTATTTCCTCTATTTTACCAAGTCTTCTAACATAGGGAAGCCACAGCAGTGGGCACATATTAAGCAAAATAGTTTCTACATTACTTATTGGTGCGTAATTAACAAAGAATAAGTATTGAGAATAAACAGATCTAATAAAACGCTGTCGCTGTAGATAAAAATACAGAAAAGACAGTTGTTTCCATGGAAAATCTTCACCGTATTATTTCTAGGCCTGAATAGTAATCGGTATTGTGGCGTTTTGAGTGTTTTGCTTGACTGAGCAAATGAACGCAATCCTAGCCGAATTCCTGAATGTGATTATTTGTTTTATGTAGAAAACACATCGGAGTTTAAGCAAAATTTGTATCTTCTTGACAAGAGTAAACGCAAATTATTCAACTAAAGCTTTTTTAACCATGTGTTCAATATTTTTATTTCTGGTGAGTTCAGCGATAAGCTATCTGGAAATTGTTCTAAAAAAACTGTATTTTACTGTATCATATTTCCTTTGCTGATACCGTTTCTCTCAATCATTTATTCGCCAAATAAAAGCGACCATTCCGTGCTGATAGCCACTATGAAACTGAACTTGCCGAGTGTATCTCCGGTGGCACCAGCTTACAACTACTGGAAAACTGATTTCGATGGATTACATCGAGCAGCGAGCCAAATGGATTGGTCTCTACCGCATGTTACATCTGTGGAGGACGGATGGACAGTGATAAAGGAAGGATTGGCTTCGCTTTGTTCTCATTTTGTAGCGTTGAAATTTCAGAAAGTCGGACTAATCAAACCACACTGGTTCGATAAAGAATATGGTAGGCTGGCTGGGTTACGGCGAAGAATATGGGACGCATTTCGCCTCTCTGGCTCCGCCACTGATTACAAAGCATATAAAAGACAGCGAAATATTTCAACAAAGCGAAATTGATAAAGCGCCGGAAGTTCGAAGAAAAGCTTGCAAATGACGCGAGGATGGTCCCAAAGAAGATCTTTGCTTACGTGAAACGCCGTTTGAAGCCAAATGGTGACATGTCATATCTGGAAGAGGCGGATGGGCTTCATCCGCTAATTATTAAATCACTAGCTGCCATTATCTCGCCTGTGGTTACGGATCTATTCAACAAATCATTGTCTGAGGGCTCATTGCCAAACGACTGGAAGCGCTTGGTTGTGAGGCAGCTCCCGAAAGGTGACGACCCCAGTAAGGTGGATAACTACAGGCCAATTTGTCTTACACCCGTTTTGGCCAAAGTGATCGAGAAGCAAGTAAAAAAGCATCTAATATATCTGTTGCAATCGAACGAACTTCTGACACCGGCACAACACGGATTCAGGATGGGATATTCTTGTGTTACCAACTTACTTGTGACGAGACAGGAATAGTTGCAAGCACTGTACCGGGGAAAACCGTCGACGTAATCTACATCGACTTCAGCAAAATATTCGACAAAGTTAATCATGAATTGCTTCTAGACAGATAAAGGTCGTGTGGTGTCAGAGGATCGTTACATCGATGGATCCATGAATTTCTCGTTGGAACAAATTGGAGGGTACAGGTGGACGGCCATCTAACCGATTAGTATCCCTCGAACAGTGGTGTACCTCAAGGTACGGTACTGTTACTCACTCTGTTTCTCATCCATATAAACAAGCTGCTCCAGCTTCTACGGTCGCCGTGTTCACTATTTGCGGGTGACCTCAAAATTTGGCGAGAAATTAATAGTCTCGATGACTGTGACATTTTCCAACAAGACCTCGACCGCCTCGCAGTATGGTCTGCTGAAGTCCACCTACCGGTCAACCCGGCAAAGTCCCTATTTATGAATCTCGGGAAGGCTGTTAAAGGACGAACGTACACCCTAGACGGACAACCACTGCATCCCACACCTTCCGTTAAAGACCAAGGTGTACTTTCACGCTGCGACTTGAAGTCCGTCGACAACATCAACAAACTGTATCGAAACGGACTGCGCATGCTCTGGGCGCTGAAACGCAGCTTCTGCACTTGGTCTGAGGACTTCGCCACTCGCCTCTTCTCTTCCATCGTCAGACCAATGGTAGAGTACGGCTCGCCTGCATACTGTCCGATCACTCGCGGCGAAGCGCAAATAATCGAACGAGTACGACACGTCGCCACCAAGTTGATCGCCAGCTTGAGAGGCTTATCGTATGAAAACCGGTGCATGAAACTTGGGCTCTACACCTTGTAATATCGCGGTGTTCGTGTGGATCTTATCATGACCTACCGTATTTTACATCTCGGTCATTTCCCCATGCTGAGGTCGTTACTCCACTTGCGAGTACCATGCACCACACGCAGGCACAGGTACAAACTCGTGGTACCTGATCTGAAGAAAATCCCACACCCTCTGTGTTTCGAGCGAAGGGTTGTGCACGCTTGGAACAGTCTGCCAGAACACGACGTCGAGGCCCAATCTGTGCAGAAATTCAAATCTTTGCTGGATTTACACTTCGCTAACATACGTTTCAGAGAACGGTTGCCACTTGACAAGGATATCACCCAATTGTGACTCACTGTGTGAACGCGCATTTTGTGTGCTACAGAAGGAGTTGCTGAACCATCTCATGATAACCACCGGAGGTGTTTATTTTTTTTTAATGTTTTTTGATTAGTACTCGATGGAGTTGTACAGAATTATTTTCTAATTTCTCTAACATACATATTCAGTATTTAGCTGTTGATGCTAATTAGGGTAGTAAGGAACGACCTAACTAGAGCAATGTTTTCTTTCTTATTTCAATTATAAATTATAAAGCTACCATATATATTATACTGTA